ATTTTGACAAAAAAATCTAGATTTTGACCGAAACGAAATTTCATTCTGTATCGTTTCAATTAATCTAAAAAACTGATATGTACCGACCATAATGGCCGGTACGAAACGAAATTGATAACCTTGCTACAAAGTCTATATAATTAAAAAATACGTGTAAAAATGTTCAAAAGTTAAAATTATCTAGCTATAAAACACATACCTCTGTATCTGAAGGGTACTCTTCACTTTGGACTTCAGCTCAAAGAATTCCATTTCCTTCTATTCTTGTTTTCATTGATGCAGATTGGGCAAGATGTTTGAATAGTTGTCGCTCCACCTCTATATTGTATTTATTCTTTAGTAATTCACTCATTTCGTAGTCTTCCGGGAAGAGCAATTCACAATTTCCCAATCGAGTGCAGGGGTTGAGTACTGTGACACTACAAATGCAGGTGGCAAACCTGGAAGAGGCAGCTGCTTTCCGAGTTATGCGTTCAGGTTTCCGCTCCGACGATGATTTATTGTAATAATATTATTGCTTTATACATGTCTATTAATCTCATTCAACATCAGCTTACAAAATACATCGAAATTGATCTTCATTTCTTCCCGGACAAGGTGGCTTCTCGCTTGGTTTTCTTTTGGATTTTATGAGTTTTCTTAAAATCAATTGGCATACGTCATAACAAATTAAGGCATTGCCAAATTTCCACCTTCCGACCATGCAGAAGCAATTTGTACGTCCCTCATCATTACATTCAAATTGAGGGGAATGAGAAGTATATTGTTATATATATTGTTATATGTAAATTGCCGGAATTTATTTACTCATAACTTTTATATATTATTTATATAAAATTTTAATTATTTATTTTTTTATTATGTATTATTAAGATTTATTTATTTATTATTTTTTTGAAAAAATAAATTTGTTAGTTATACAATCATAATAAATTTTAATCATTCATAATAAAAATAAATAAACTGTCAAACTTTTATATAAATAAAAGTGTAAAATTTTTGTATAAGCACATGCTAACTCATATGGAAATATACTATAATTAGTATATTGTTTTAGAAGATAGTGTAAGATAGGTCGTTATTTTAAAATTTTTTAAAAAAATTTGTTTAAAATTTTACTTTTTAATTAATA